CATCTGATCAGGACTTCGCTCCCCACTACCATCACTTGTGTACAGAGTACCTGGCCAGTATCCTGTCACAAGCAACTTCCAGGCTGGTAACTATACACAGAACTTGAATGAATGGATGTATGAATGAATGGTTATATATATATATATATACACAAGTGTATAAGGGTTAAGTAGTGATAGGAATAAGTAGTTAAACAACGTTGTTTGCTTCTATCTTTTCTTTATTTTTATTATTATCTTTACAATAAATGTGGCTTTTTGCCTTATCCCCCTCATAAGATCCTGCTTGCTTTTATTTGGTACAACCACCACTGCCAGACATTTTGTGAAGACCCTGGGGGCCGTGGAAAAGCCAAATAGGAGGGCAGTGAATGGATAACAGCCGAGGTCCACCCTGAAGTAGAGGAAGCACGTGTGCGCAGGCACGATGGAAATGTGAAAATAGGTGTCATTGAGATCGAGAGCAGTGTACCAGTCTTGCGTGTCTAGGGAAGGAATGCTAGAAGCTAGGGTAACCATCTTGAACTTGGGACTTTATTATGAAGATATTCAGATCCCTGAAATCCAGAATAGGATGGAAGCCCCCCATTGCCTTTGGGATCAGGAAGTAGCAGGAATAGAAGCCCTTTCCCCTGCAATCCCACAGCACTTCCTCTACTACCTCGAGGTCGAGAAGTTCCTGTACTTTCACCCTGAGAAGATGCTCGTGAGAGGGGTCCCTGAAAAGGGAGGGGAAATGGGAGGGAGGGCAAGAGAAGAAGGGGATGAGGTATCCCCTTCTCACCTTGTCCAGGACCTATCGCTCCATTGTGATGAGCAACCAGGCACAGTGGAAAGGGTAAAGGCAGTCGATAAAAGGCCTCTGGTGTGAGACTGGTTCACTGTCCCCACTTGCATCTTCAAAAGGTTCTGCCTAGGGCCCTAGGCCCATCAGAGGGGCCTGCCCTCTGGTCGGAGGAGGAGCAGGAGAGATGTCTGTCGTTTCTATTATTATTATTTCGGCCTCTGTGCCTAGGGAAATCCGGCCTGTGCCCCTGCTGGAAAGGGCAATATGGAGCCCTAAAGAGGGAGCGCCTTTGTGGAGCAGGGGTATGGATGCCCAGGGACCTAAAGGTTGCCATGGAGTCCTTTAGCCCATGAAGGCTGGTGTCTATTCACTTGGAGAACAAACCGGCACCCTCAAGGGGCAGATCCTGAATTGTGTTCTGTACTTCCAGAGGGTTACCAGGCACCTAGAGCCATGCGCCCCTATGCAGGACCAGGCCCATTGCCATAGTATGGGCTGCCGCATCCACTGAATCCAAGGCTGCCTGAAGTGCACAGTAGTGTCCCGGGCTACCTTCCTTGGACAAGGCCCTGAACTCCTGCCTTGAATCTTGGGACAGCAACTACCCCAACTTGTCCATAGCCACTCATGAGTTAAAAACATATGTGCTCAGGAGGACTTGCTGGCTAGCGATCCAGAGTAGGAGACCCCTCCGAAGTGTGAGCCTTGTGATCCAAAAGGTCTGACCACTTGACTTCCCTGTTCTTAGGGGTAGGGTCAGGTTGGCCCTGCCACTCAGTGATTAGCGGCCTGCACCACTACTGAACTGGGTGGAGGCTGGGAGAACAGGTGCTCATGGCCCGCCTGAGGGACAAAGTAATGGCACTCTGTCTTCTTGTCTGTGGGCATGCTAGATGCTGGCATCTGTCAGAGGGCCTTTGTGATTTTGCCCAGTCTTATTTAGGCAAAAATAAGGGATGGCACCTCGGCATTGAGAACGTCGACTGTAAGGTCTGAGTCCTCAGAGATCTGCTTAAGCTAGACCCCCCAAGGCTCTGGGCCAGTCTCTGAAGGAGCTCTTGATGGGTCTGGTAGTCCATGGCTGGTGCTGACAAAGAAACCAACCCTAGGACCTCGTCCAGGGAGGACCATAAATCCTCCCTCTCATAAGGCCACTCCGATGCTTAAGAGGCGGCAGACAGCTCCGATGCCCATACCCTCCGCCCGGGGGGGGGGGCAGGGGCTACCTCTGTACCGCGAAGGCCTGTGATGCCAGGGCACTGGGCAGGAGGGTGGCCAAAGGTGAGGCACAGATTCCCAAATGTGCAGATCCTGCCATAGAGGGAACACTCCCATGGCCCTGATGTATACCCAGGGGGTCCAGAACAGCCACTGGTATGGATGTTGGCACTGTGGAGGCCAAGTCTGCAAGAGGCCCAGGACACAATCGTGGCCCTCGCAATGCTGGGATTGAGAGCGGTGCCAAGATCTGGAGCGGCGTTGGCAACTAGAGCAGCACCAAGACAAAATGGTGCTGGGGGAGGGGGAAGAGATCATTGCCAGGACCATGATCGGTGCTGGGAAGATGTGCGGTGCCGACAGCAAGACGGGGACACCCTTGATGGTACCGACTTCACGTTGGACTCCAATGAGTAGTCAGACTCCGACCATGGCAGGGCAGAGGTTGAGCCCGTGGACCGATGTCTCTCCGCAAGCTGAACCATAGAGGCTGGCTTGCCCTGGCGCTGTACAAGCAGAGGGGGCACAAGTTGCTCTGGTGCCACCAACTTGGCCACTGGGATGAGCATGCTCAACGCCGAGCTCTCTCTGGACCCGAGAGAGTAAAGCTGCCAGTGCCAGCGTTGGCATTGAAGGCAAAGAACGATGTGCTGCATGGGGTGCCAGTGCAGAAGATGGTGTGGGCCTACCTGGATTAGGTGCCACTGACAAGGCCTGGGCCTAAGACTGGTTCTGGTGCTCCAGGCGAGGCAATGGCGAATCAGCCGTCAACTCAATCAGCTCCCACACTTCCTCTAACTTATCCAGAGTGGAGGGCTGTTGAACCTGAGACAGCTCCTCCCCTGCCCCGTGGACCTTGGTTATGCTCAACTGGCCATACTTGACTGGCCATGCTCTGGCCCAGGAGCCACTAACTTCACCACCGGTGTGGGTGCAACAGGGTGCAGGCACAACCTGCCCCTCTCTACTTTCCTCTTCTTGTGCTGCACCGGCGACAGTGAGCAGTGCCGTGCCATAGGGTGCCTCGATGATGACGAGGCCTCCCGAGGAACCAAGAGTCTCCCAGACGAAGGGTGGTGTACTGCAGGACTCCGGTGCCGAGTCCGAAGACAGTGCCGGGTGATGCACCAACTCCATAAGGAGTATCTTTAAGCACAAGTCCTTCTCATGCTGAATCCTGGGTTTAAAACTGCAACATATTCTGCAGTTAGCCAGGTTGTGGGCCGTGCTCAAGCACTTTTAAGCACGAATCGTGTGGGTCACTACAGGGCTTGGAACAGTCAATGCAGGACTTAAAACTGTGGCACCCTGGCATGTCCCGTGGGCAAGGCAGGAAGGGGACACAACAGGCGAGCCCCAACCCAAACAACTTAACTAACAGGGAAGATCACTTGGATAAGAACAAAAGGTTTAACAAGGTGCTAACTACTCAGAATGCTATGAATACTGCTGAAATCACACTTAAAGGCAAGCGAGAAGGGAGCTCCAATGACCATCATGGGCGGTAAGAAGGAACTGGGGGTGGAGGGCCAGCGGCGATATATATGCACTGATATAGCAGCACCACTCCATGGGGTTCCCTGGCTGGCCCGACAGGTACCACTAAGGGAAAACTCTCCAGCAATCCATGCATGTGGTGCACACACACGTAAGTGGAATGGACATGAGCAAACACTTGAAGGGTAGTACCTCTCCCATTCCCAAGTATAAACATTCCCTCCTTGTTTCACCAGAGCCTGGATTTGGTGACCTCCAGGCTATTCTGGTTTTCCCCAGGAATCTCCAAAGTAACATATTTGGGAAGATATTGTAGATTATCTCTTTATTCATTGAGATCCAAGAGTCTCATCTGAGTGTCTTATAACTGCTATTTTATAGAAGCTCAATATTATAAAGTACTGGCAGCAACCCACAGCTAGGATTAGAATCTGAAACAGGTTTGCAAATGCCTTTTGACAGTGCTAGGGCTGGGAGAAAAAAAAAAGAAAAAAAAGGTTATTTTGTAACTGTTGTTCGAGATGTTATACTATATAAAGCTTTTACCCTAGCGGTATCCACAGAGTCTATGCAACCCCATGGTGTTGTGCTGCTGGTGTAATGTATATAAGGTACAGCCAACCTCCTCCCACTCTCAATTCCTTCTTGCCAGTTTGTTCCGACAGAGGGGAAGCAGTTTGGGATTTGGAATGGATATGAGCCCCACACCTCGAAGAACAATTATTAAAGGTAAGTAATCTCTTTTCTTTGAGTGATTGCTCATGTGCATTCCAATACATGGCTTACCAGCAGTTCCTTCAGAGCAGGAGTCAGAAGTAGGGATGTAAGCAACAAGTTGACTATCTGATAAGCATAAGGTCTCCAAAGCAGCAAGGGGAGGGTGTGTGTGGGGGGGAAGGGAGTAGGAGCCAGTGATGGGGGGAGCTGGCTTAAAAGTTGGTTCCTCCTCACCACCATCTCTGTTGGGGGGGACGGGGACGGACAGTGAGCCACAAATCAGCCAATTCCTGGCTTGCGCCCAGTCTCAGTACATTTAAAAAGCAGAGGTGCAGCATCTAAGAGCTAACAGGTGCCTAATACATTTAAAAGGTTGGTGCGCAGCGGGGGGGCGGGGGAGGGGGGGAATTGGCACAAGCCGGAACAGCTGAGTCCTGGCTCCCATGTGCTGCGCACCAGCCTTTTAAATGTATTAAGAGTATTCTTGCTTTTAATATATTTAAAAGGCAAAGCCGCAGCGGGGTTAGCTTCCAGGGCTGGATGCTAACTCCACTGTGGCTCCCCAGCATATCAGCTAATCGATTAGTTGATTAGGAATGTTAAATTTAGTTTACTCATAGTATGTGACAAAGGTTGAAAAAAACCACAGTATCAATATAAAGGAAGAATATAAAACTAATTTATTGACCACTGTTCACCAGTATTTACAATAAAGTAAACAATATACAGTATGATAACATTCAAATTACTACAAAGTGTTTTTACCTGGCCTCTTTGCGACTAAGTTACCTAAATACTAAAAAGAATGATTCTACATGTTAGGGGTGCTACGCTGTGGGTAAAGAAGATACATGCACATCAATAGCATAGATTACTATAAAACATCTGTGAGTTTGTTTAAACGTTTGTTATGATTTGGTAATAATTATGGAGGTTCATGAAAATTTATAAAAGCCTTTACCTAATATGGAAGAAATAATATCAAATGCTGTCCTGTCAATGAAGCAAGTTACAGAAAGCCTTCATTTACTTGCCGTTGATGCATAACACACTACTTCAAAAAGAAAACATATCTAACTCAATTCTCATTAGAATGTAGATGTTTCTCACATTGCTTATAAATCAAAGAATAAAATCAAAATCCAGGTTTTAATATTAATATATATTTATAAAAAAAAGCAATGTAAGTTATTATTGTGCTTCATCTTCTGGACACGAATGCCAAGTTAGTCGTTCTTCATAAAAAGCAATTACAATCTGAGGACATTTCATGTTAGCTTCTTTGGCCAGCACCAAGTCTGCCTCATCGGAATCTTTCCTAAGATAGTAGGGTTTAAAAAAAAAAAAAAAAAAGTCATGAGTGTAAAGGCTATCACTAAACCAGATATGTCTGAAATGGATACGGGAATATATTTTATGATCAACGAGCAGAAGTAGGTGTTTAAGTTTTAGAAGAAAAAAAATCTAGCTTGGTGAAACCATCACTAGAAACTTTTTAGGAACCATCACTCTGAGAAGTTTTTCTTGAAAGGACATCAACAATAAATCACAATCTTTTGTTTAAAGCAATTTCAATATAGCAATATCCAGTTTTCTCTGCCATTGTGCTATTTTACAGTCATATTTCCCCCTCAAAAAATATTCCTCTTTCCTATTTGAGAGATCCATACAGACAAAAAGGGAATCACTGCACAAAGAAAACATTGACTGTACACTATCGTAATACTGGAAAGATTTTCCTTTTATTGCTTCTAATCTTATGTACAACTTCTCAGAGAGAAGCTTTTTTTTTTAAAATTCAAAGTGTCACTCCGGGTAAAATGTGGCCATCACAAACTATTACATTCAGTTGGGATATATGCAGCAACTTATCAGACAAACTTCTGATCCTGTGTCAGAATGAGAGAAAGAGCAAGAGAGAAAGTACCCCTGTATTTTAAAAACTTACTGATTTCACATGCTTGCTGCATTTTAGAAGTAGGCTTGTTGTATATAGCAAAGTATAATAAGTTCTCTGGTATTTAGTTTCCTCATTCAATATTACTACAGAAAATGCCACAACTGCATTTTATAAACACTCGCTGTACGTATCCACTACCTGAAGTTTTTGAGAAGATGAGTAACAGCATCTTCTAAAGTGCAAATCTTTAAGGTCAGGTCTACACTAAAGGGGAAGGTTGAATTAAAATACGTTATGTACCTTAATGCACGTTTCTGCACCGTCTCCACAGTGGGAAGCTGATGGGAGCAAACACCCCCATCAGCTCCCTTTACTCCTCACGAGAAGTACTGGCACTGACAGGGGCACCCTCCGAGTTTGATTTAACGGGTCTTTACTAAACCCCTATTTCAAACTCCAGAAGATCAATCTCGTGGCAGTGTCGATCTTCTGCTTAGTGAAGACATGGCCTATGTGTCTAGGCAAACAAGTGAGAGACTGATTTTTGGGACAGCTGAGTTGGACTTCATTTGGAAAGCTATTATTGCACTACCCACACTCCTCTGACAAACAGCATAAATTCAGTATCTCATCAGTTTGACAATTGAATTTTAGAAAGATTCCAATCTTACTCTGCAGGTTGAACTTCTCTGGTCCAACAGCATCTATGGTCCAGCAGATTCTACATGTTAGGGGTGCTAATGGATGGTATTGGACTAGAGAGAGCACCCCAGAGGTTGCCAAAGAACCTCGCTGGCCAAGGGTAGGAAGCCCTGCTGGCAGGCCAGTAGCCGAACACTGGTCAGGCCAGTGGCCAAGAGGGGAGCCAGCGGCCTGATCTCCCTTGGTCCGGCAAACTCCCTTGTTCGGGACCGCTAAAGTCCCAAGATGCCAGACTAAGTAAGTACAGGTTGGACCTCCTATTTGCTCCGGATAGGTATTCCTAAACAAAGAAACAAGTAACTTGTCTGCTTTCCTGTCACATTCCAAAATCAGTTTGAGGAATTTAAACACTTTGGATCAGACCAGTCTGTACATCACTTACCATTTCATAAGAAACATTAGTTCTCCGCTGCTATCTGTGGCTCCAATTATCCGCTCAGGATCCAGACCTCTTGCAAACCCCCTTGGTTTATCAACCTATTAAAAAGGTTGAAAGTCATATCTAGTTTAACATTAAATGCACATCATTTTAGGAAAGCATCAGACGACTTACAGCTTATATCAAGCCAAGATTTAGTTTGTTAAACTTTTAGGCTGAGCCACTGAATTAGTTACATTTAGCAAAAATTTTGAATTTATATAATTGAAAACTACAGAAGGCAGGTTGCATCCTTCTAGTGGAGGCTAAATGTAAAGACCAGGAAACATTTAAACACCACTTCTGTACGAACGTACCAATGACATGCAAACTACAGTCAACTTTCTGAATATAGGAATATGGCAATAGCTCGAGTTAGATTTAATTTCTCTGCAGAAATCACAATCCAAGCTTGCAAACAGTTACTCCCATATGAAAAAACATGTTAATAGTACCATGCGGGCACAAAGATTATGCAGTTGTTGTTCACAGGACTATAGCCTTAACACTTTAAAATTAAAGTTTAGATTAGATTAATTTATTTTGCTTAAAATTCAAATTTGAGGTTAAGAACACTGCGTAGCACTACATAAACCTGGCTATGATTTAATCATGGGTATTTTGTGATCCGTTCATTAATATTACTAAAAAATACCCTTACTAAATATTAGGTGGTTTGGGGTAGGAGTTACTCCAGAAGATGCTGCAGCACGTGTGTGTCTGTCCCAGAGCCCTGCTCACCAGACAGTACCAGGGACTAACTACCTCAGAAGATCTACAATGTAGACTGTTCTACCAACCTAAGTGTCTTGTGTCAAATTTGTTTTATAAACAAACAAAAGGCCACTGTGTACTTTTGTGAATTAACAGGAAAAGGTAAAGTACAACACTGGGAAGAGGACCAGTTATCTGTTTCTTTGATAGTCTTAAACGGCAACGGTATCTTCTCCTCATTCCTATTTTCAGATGAAGACTTGGAAGGATTTTAGTCATCATTATTCATGAGGTAATTACTCTTAAGCCAGATACATTCTCTTGTATGTTCAGAAGATGTGAGAAGATTTCCAGATCCATGGAGTTGATTTCTTTGACTTTCAAGAGAGTTATCAATGTTTACAGTTTTAACTCCCAGGAAAAATTGGAATTGCCATACTAGGTCCATCTAGTCCACTATGCTGAATAGCAGCCAATACCAATGCCTTAGAAGAAGATGTCAAATCCTCATTGTAGGCAGACATGGAATAATATGCTCTCAGAGGTCTCATCCTGATCTCTTACTGCTAAGATTTAGAAAGGGAAGTACATGGGTATCAAGAATATCCAGATTAATGAGAAATTTTGTTAAGAGAACGAAGATGTTAACTTAGGTCCTGAAGCATTGAGTACTTGACCTCAGTGAGTTCCTATGGCAAAGAAATCCACAGTTTAATTATCTGCTGACTGAAAAGTATTTCCTTTTCAGTTTTTTAATTTCCCACTTCAGTTTTGTTAAATGTCCCTTGGTTATGATACATGGAAGAAAAAAAAGTTATCTACCTTTTGTAACTGTTTGAGATGTTTTGCTCATATCCACTCCATTCTAAGGGAGTGCACATCCAATTGCACACGTTGGGAGACTTCTGCCTTTGCAGTATCCAAAGGATTGGCTGCTGTGCCCTCGAGCAATGCACTCATGTGTCAGTATATTTTTAGGTTCTGCCAATCCTATACCCTCCCAGTTCCTTCTTGCCAGCAACTCACATGGGGTAGAAGGGCAGGTAATAGAATGGGCATAAGCAACAAATCTCAAAGAACAACAGTTATAAAGGTAGATAATTTTTCTTTTCAAGTGCTTGCTCATGTTGATTCCATTCTAGGTGACTCAAAAGCAGTATCCTTGGTGAGCTTAGAAGTTCACAGAGTAGCAGCTTGTATGACTACTCTACAAAAGCCAGCATGATCCCTGCCCACGGGGTGGGTGCATAGCAGGATGTGAACAGACAAACAAGTGGCCATCCTGAAAATGCCATGGCCAGGAAAGCTGTCAAAGAGGCCTGTGCTCTAGTCAAGTGGACAGTCGTGGGAAGTGGCATTGTTACCTCATCATAGCAGCAGCAAATGCAAGCAGTGATCTACGAAGTTGTTCTTTGAGTGGACACTTTAAAACCTTTCATCCTGTCATCCACTCAGAAACAATTCCATCAACCTGTGGAATGCTTTGGTCCTTTCAATTTAAAAGGCAAACACCCTCCTGACAGTGAATGAATGAGAACTGGAAGGGACCTCAAGAGGTCATCGAGTCCAGCCCCCTGCCCTCAAGGCAGGACCAAGCACTGTCTAGATCATCCACGACCTAGTATTTGTATTATTTACCATCCTATCCCCTATGCATCCTAAGGATGTAAAAACCTGTTTAATAAGTTAACGGGGGGGGGGGGGGCCCCCCTCCAGCTCCCTCACCTGCCACAGCTAGGCTGGTGGATGTGCCCGGGTTCACCAAAGACAAGGCCAGGCTCTATTTAGGATGCATTAGGGATGTGAAAGGTTAATAAAACAAAAACCACAAAACCCATACCATAGCTTCATGATGAATAGGTATTTTCAGTTAACTGTCTAAGACGACACCAAGATCCCTTCCTTGAGCGAATAGTTACTTTAAAAACCATAGAATCTGATGGAACTTGGGAGTCATCAAGTTCAAATTTCCTACACTCACAGCAGGACAAAGAACCATGTAGACCACCCCTGACAGGTGTTTATCTAACCTGCTCTTTATAAAAATAGCCTATAAGCAGTGTTCCCTCTAACATTTTCTATCTTTGTGTGTGTGTGTGGGGGGGGGAGGGGGGCGCGCAGTGCTGAATTTTCTTATGTGCAACACCAGCATGGAGGTCGTGTACGGCTATATAAAGCAGTCCAAATGTGTGGAAGAAAATATATTAAAACCTGGAGTTTAGCAAAGTTACATCTGGACTTTAGCAAAGCTTTTGATATGGTCTCCCACAATATTCTTGCCGGCAAGCTAAGGAAGTATGGATTGAATAAATGGACTGTAAGATGGATAGAAAGCTGGCTAGACTGTTGGGCCCAATGGGTAGTGATCAACTGCTCGATGTCAGGTTGACAGTTGGTTTCTAGCAGAGTGCCCCAAGGATCTGTTCTAGGACTGGCTTTGTTCAACATCTTTATTAATGACTTTGATCAGGTGCACAGATATCATTAGGCTGGGGAGAGAGGTCAATATTCTGGAGGGCTGGGATCGGGTCCAGAATGAATTAAGAAAATGGAGGGTTGGGCCCAAAGAAATCTGATGAGGTTCAACAAGGACAAGTGTAGAGTCCTGCACTTGGGACAGAAAAATCCCAAGCATTATTATAGGCTGGGGACCGACTGGCTACGTAGCAGCTCAGCAGAAAAGGACCTAGGGATTACAGTGGATGAGAATTGGATAGGAGTCAACAGTGTGCCCTTGTAGCCAAGAAGGCCAATGGCATATTAGATTGCATTAGGAGGAACATTGCCAGCAGATCCAGAGAAGTGATTATTTCCCTTTATTGGGCTCTGGTGAGGCCACATCTGGAGTATTGTGTCTAGTTCTTGGCCCCGCACTACAGAAGCGATGTGGAAGCATTGGAGAGGGTCCAGCGGAAGACAACCAAAATGATTTGGGGGCTGGAGCACATGACCTTTGGAGGCGAGACTGAGAGATCTGGGTTTGTTTAGTCTGCAGAAGAGTGAGGGGGGATTTGATAGCAGCCTTCAACTTCCTGAAAGGAGGTTCCAAAGAGGATGGAGAAAGGCTGTTCACAGTAGTGATGGACGGCAGAACAAGGAGCAATGGTCTCAAGTTATAGTGGGGGAGTCTAGGTTGGATATTAGGAAAAACTATTTCTCTAGGAAGGTGGTGAAGTACTGCAATGGGTTACCTAGGGAGGTGGTGGAATCTCCACCCCTAGAAGTTTTTAAGTCTCAGCTTGACAAAGCCCTGGCTGGGTTGATTTAGTTGGGATTAGTGCTGCCTTCGGCAGGGGTCTGGACTTGATGACCTCCTGAGGTCTCGTCCAGCTCTACAATTCTAAGACACCTGTGTCTAATTGCTGTGACTACAAAGTTAAGAAATTTGCCTTCTTCCACGCAAAGAAGAGTAGAAGTCCCAGAACAAATTAACATATGGCTTCAGGGTTTGTAGATAGATGCATGTTTCAAAGATCCTGCAAATACGGTTTCATTGTACAAAATTAGCAACGAACCAAGTATTTGCTACTTCTGGCTTATAAGAGCCAGAACTCTACCACATAGCAAAGATCTGGCCTTAATGTCTCCCACACCCCAGCTACTAATTCCCTCGTTATCCCACCTGCTTATCTTCTCTGGGAGCTCTTCAGTTCAAGCAACACACCTCCATTTAGCTGCTGCTTAGCCAGATAACCTGCCCCCTCCCCCCCCATCAGTCAGCTAATCTCCCTGCCTCCGCAGGAGCTTTGAACCTCTGAGCACGGCTCAGAAAATAGCTGTGCAGTTGCGCAGCTTAGAGGGAACTTAGCCTATAAGACATTTTAGCTTTCTTCTTTAGTATGCATTATTTTGCATATTTCAACAACAAAAATCATTCATCATGTTGCTCATTCACCTAGTCTGTAAATTCTTCAGACCCATTTGGTCCTGACTAATCTAAACTTCTTTAAAATTTGCAAACTTTAAAATATTCACCTTCCTTTTCAAATAATTAATATATTAAAACCATTGGACCCAAGACAAATCTTGAAGCTAGGAGAATAAGCGACTAGTCACTTCCCCCTGTTGCTGCCTCTATCAGAGAGGGGTAGAGAGGGAGTGCAGGAGGAGGAGGAGCAGGAGCGGTGCTAGGGGGAGCCGGCTTAAAAGCCGTTTCCCCCCCAGCACCATCTCTGTGGAGGTAGAGGCACAGCAGAAACAGCGTGAATAGGGACTGAAGTGGGGATGTCTGCGCTGGTTCTTGTTGCCTTTCTCCCTTTGAAATATACAAGAGCCACAGACAGCTCTTGTACATTTCAAAGAGAGGAGCGCAGTGGGATAGCAAGTGCCCCCTTAGCAGCTCCTTATTGACTAATTTCTGGAAATTTCATCAACTACTAGATTAGCTTATCAATCAAATTTAACATCTCTAGACTGAAGCAGTCTCACTTCACGCAGTTCTGCTGCGCTTCTGCTTTTGAAACGTGCAAGAACCCTGGTGGGGCTCTTGTACATTTCAAAGCCTCAGGTGCAGCAGGGAATGCAAGGCCAATCCCCTGCTGGCCCTGTGCTCCCTGAGGGACTTCCACTTTTGAACAATAAGGAGAGCACTGGGCTCCTGCTACAGTTCAAAGGTGGAGGTGCCCTTATCAACTAATCGAATAGTCCATGGAAATCCCATCAGCTATTCAATTTGTTAATCTAAATTTAACATCCCTACTTGAAGTACCATAATCTATGATGAAAGGGGCCATTTAATCCTATTGTTTGCCTTTGATGAGGTCCACCAAAGAAGCTAAGTATTCTTGGGTGATAGAACCACAGTAATACTCTTACTAAGAGATGATGAATCATTTTGGAAGTCTAAGGAAGAACCAGTTGGCTATTCACTACTTTGTCAAATAAAAATTAGTGAGAATTTTTTTTGCAGAAGCTGTGCTGTTTAGATTCTATCATATCATGAGCTTCCAGAGGTTTTAAAAATAAAAAATTTTAAACCAATTTCTCAGGTACAGATGTACGGCTCATTTATAATTGGATCACCCCTACAGTTTTTTTTTTAAATATAGGTACAAACATTGAACAAAAGAAAAAACATCTGTATAGGAATAACTTGAACATACTTACAGAATCCCTCTTTTTCTTGGATTTACTGTCATCGGATTCACTGTCTGATAACGATTTTCTTTTAGCACCATCTGTTTTTTCTTTACCAGCTTTCTGGGAGTTCAGAAAGGCTTCGATTAATTCTGGACAATCTAAGTTTTCTTCAGGCTCCCATGTGTTGTCGGCACTGGAACATACACACAGCTCATGAAGGACCATCAAAAGCCAGAAACCTAATTTAGCCAGGATGCTTACTGTGAGCTAAGATTTCTTCCCTATAATGTGAAACAGGCTTCTTAAACCTGAGGTGATTTACTTTGTTTTTTTAAATGACCTTGCAGTCAGCAGATATGAGCTAGGAGTTCTGCTCTATTATGTTTGATGTTAAGACAGAAGACATAGGACATCCACAATTTTTAAAATCCTTTACACATCCACGCTATAGACTCTGATTAGCCCTTCAAGACCGCCTCCCTTCCTATTTAAAAACCTTCAAAGACAGATAGGGAACTGTAACAAAGTGGCTGGGGCTACACAGAGAAGCTATCTAAGTGTAGGGATGTTAAAATGCATTTATATTGGTGAACATGTAAACACTGAAGATTTTTATATGCGGGGGGAGGCATCTCCATGGGAGCTGGTGTATGTGAGGAACTGGCTTAAAAAGCTAGCTCTCTGCATGCACTAGCTCCTGCCCCCTCCCCTCTGTCACTGCCTCTAATAAAGAGGCAACAGCACAGAGGTGGGAGGGGAATGGGCAGGGCTCGACAATCTATGTAATCTATTTGCCTGTGGCGAGTAGATTACATCACAGAAAGCCAGGTTCGGGCGATCTGCGCATGCGCAGAACGATCTGCGCATGCGCAGAACGATCTGCAGTAGCTCGGCAAGCCCTGTGAATGGCTGTGTATGTATGTATGTATGTATGTGTGAAGGTTAACTAATGAGTTCAGGCTTGTTGGTTAACCATTTACATTATCATATCCCTATCTAAATATGCCTAGTTTTATTTTATTTGCTACTTAATGTCAAATCTATTAAATGTGCCCCTACACATGGTAAGTGCCTTCTCATTAGATTATACACACCAGTAACAAATAATGCACAAAGGAGAATCCCCAAGCTATTTTCAGTTATTGAAAGATACTCGGGCAACTTGAGGCAAGTCCCATCAACATCCAAACTAAGCAAGTTACTGCTATGTACATCTGAGCAGAATATGCACTTTCAGGGATATAACGACAGGCAAACAGTGAATGAGTTACTTCTGAGGGAATTCTGTGCCAAAAAAAGTGTGTCTGCATATATTAAAATTCTGCAAATTTTATTAGTCAATAAATACATGTAAAGACTTTAGCATGGCAGGGGGAAGCATAGGCCATGACTGTCCAACCCTAATACAAGGGCAGAACTTGCCCCAGAAACTAATTAAAAAGTAGTTAAATCAGTGCAATATTCAACATGGAGACAGTTATATTAATCAAAAGCTGTTCATCTACATTGCAAAACAGTGGTAAAGTAGTACTACTAGTGAGACCTGATCAGATATTACAGTTACTTGAGATTTTCTCCCATCGTCTCAAAAAATCCTTAAGAAGTGAGACAGAAGAACAAATACATACTTAATAGATCTGCTTGTTTTGAATTGGTATGGGCTACAGAAATCGGATGAGCAACCAAGAGAAGCTCTAGTACAGAACATCCCTTTCACACGTTTAAAATATCAAGTTATTCTAAACAAAAAGAGTAAAGTTGTTAAATTGCTGTTGTTATCTGGCTAGTCATGTAGTCGATACAATCTGTATTGTACCAAGTCCAGCAGCCCCTGTCCGAGGTGGTCAAGGCAGGCTGTAGGGACCGGCTGCTCTGGCAGCAGTCCCCCCGTCTGTGGCAAGCCTCCCCATCTTCACTCCCCTCTGTCTCTGATATAAGGATGTTAACTACCCGTTAATTTACTAGTAGAGTAGTAGATGGAATTTCCATCGACTACTAGACTAGTCAATAGGCACTTCTGCATTCTCCCTTTGAAAAGTACAAGAGCCCCTGCTGCGCTGCCGACTTGAAATGCCACACAGAGCCCAAGGCGGTGTTTCAAAAGAGCACCAGTACAGAGATCAGCTGTGCGGAGCTGCTGCTTTGAAATACCCCCTCTCTCCCCACCTTTGCTGCCTCTTTCTGATAAAGGCAGCAAGGGGAAGGGAGGGAATTGACTAGCAACTAGTCCTAACATCCTTACTCTGATAAAGAGGGGTGTGTGTGTCTGTCCGTGTAGGAGGCGGCACCACAGAGATAACAGTCAAGTACTATACTCGACTACTCACTAACATCCCTAAAAAAGACTATTCACTCTTTAGCCTGGGCTAAACTAGGCTGCTGTAACTATGTTGGTCAGAGTTATGAAAAAGATCCATATCCCAAGCAACACAGTTACAACTGACCTGATCCCCAACATATGTAGTGGTGGGTTTCTAGAAGCATAGAGGCCCTTGCTTCCATAGTCATATAGTGGAAAGTATCTAATGGATTTGGAGGCTACCAGAATAAAACGCATTTGCAATTTCTTACTCTGTAAATCCTTTCCATTTCAAGAAGTATTCAACCTTCCCATTTACTACACGTCTGTCCAGGACTTTCTCCACAACAAATTCTTCAGGCTCTGCTTCTTCAACTTTTTTACCTTTGCCATTCTGTTTCTTTCCCATTTTGTGCTATAAAAGAAGTTAAAAATATGTTTAATATATATATATATATTATATTGCTTTATGCAACCACTTCTATGGTCAAGCACAACCTTTGTTCTCTACATAACAAAAGCAACTTATATATACTGCATCCAGGGCTCAAATTCCTATTAGGTTAGTGCATCAGGGCAGGTAATCGAGTGCCATTTTTGTAAGTTGCTTTATAAAACATCAAACACTGAGCACCAGTCTTTAATAAAGATAAAACATTTTTACTCATGCAATTAATGCCTCCTTTCCCTTAGTTCTTATTCCACTCCTTCCTCAGGTGCCAAAGACCAAAAATTTACAAGAACTTGTACAGAAAAATCTAACTGAACATCTGCAAAAAAGGCAGTGTACTAGAAACAGCATAAAAAGTACATAGAAACAACAAAGCTAACTGTGGAGAGCGGGACAAAAGAGACCGGGGATACTATACTGGCTAAGAGAGAAAATTAAAGACAATTAATTTCTACTTTCCTCCCAACACCTCCAAAATATATAACTGTGAAGGGAAGAGGAGCTGAAATCATATTGCTATACCAAACTGGATACCCAACAATAACTGATAACAGCTGCCAACAGAATGTGTTATTTGTAAAATTCCATAGCTGATATTCTCTCCCATCCTCACCCATGCACCAAGCGGTGCAAAAACCTAAGAGCTATGATTAAAGAACAGCACATAATGTATAAAATTTCTCTAATTAAAACTTTACAGAATGTCGTAATTAAATATACATTAGATATATTGTCATATAACATCATTTAAATGCTTAAAATAAAATTTATTACATCCACATCATCCTCAAGGCATTCCACATTTAATAAGGCACAATTAAATGTATCAGGACAAATGGCATTTTTCAAAATTTCTTCGTTCATAACCCTAAAAGGTTTGAAACAAATCTCATTGTCATATGGAGTGGAACTCTATGGGCAGAGTTTTAGTTGCCATTTTGGATGTGCTCCTTATGGGTAAGCATTCAAAATGGCAGCAGGACTTTGACACTCCCAGAATTCAGTCCTATAAGAGTATTAAATTAAGTAGTGCTGTCACATTTCCCTTACCAAACTATTTTTCCACTGAACACGGCCTGCTATTATAGCATTGCCAATGAGTACTATCTACAATTAATACTGACATTTTGATAAAGCAATGAAGTAGTTGCTTTGAAACTCAGGCTCAAAGTTAGCTCTTTCCACTTTCTGTAATTTAAGATTTTGAAGTTATTTGTAAAAATAATAATTGAGGATCTTTTCCTAATTAGCCTTTCCCCAAATGCCACTAACTTCAGACTCCTAAGTTAGCAAACCTATAAATTGTATGTTCATACAGCAAAATACAAAAAGGAAAGGTTTCAAGATTTCTATTCTAAACATTATACATAGAAAAGATATCAGATGTGGTGTTTGTTTGAAGGTGATTTAGGCACAGTGTTAACAGTCTGTTTTAAATATCTTTTATTTTCATATCCCACAAATGACATTCTGAGCAAAGCACCAGTATTTGAAGAGTGCTAACTTAATTACACAAGTATTTTTTGGCCTCCAGAGAGAACGTAAGAGAACAAGGATGCAAGAGCAAGACTAAGTGAAAGAAAAATAGGACCATGATAAACTATCTTCTCAAGGCAGATTCTTTTAAAAGGAAAAAAAGCGAAGGACAGAAGAGAGAAATAGGTAGAAATGGAAAAACAGCAAAAATTGAAGAAAAAAAAGTGATATAATGGTCATAGCACAGAAATAACACTATTGTTACATTGGATGAGAGTCTTGTAAATATAGTTTAAATTAATACTTTAAAGAAATTCTCCTTTGGGCTTTAATTCAGTTCAGGAGTGGGCAATCATTTTGGTAGGGCGGGGTCACTTAATGAATAGTAATGGATCAGCACCTCCCCCAGAAGGGGAGGAGTTTGAGGTGCAAGGGGGCAGGGCTGAGGACTAGCCTCCCCCCAAGGACTCTAGGCTTTGAAGTAAAAGCAGAGCAAAGAGGTCACAGCTCCCGGCCCCACTGCTACCGCAGGCATCCAGGTTTCTATGGCTATTTAAAAAGCTCGTAGCTCTAACCCCTTCCAGGGTAGCACTGTGACCAGGAGTCAGCCATTTAAATAGATTCTGCTGCCTGAGCCACCGCCTGGAAATTTGGTGGCATATATAAATTTATGGCAGCAGGATATAAATAGAAATCAGCCAGATGCCGTCCCCGGGGTGGATCTGGCCCCCAGGCCACATCTTGCCCAGCCCTGACTCAGTTCCAAGGTGAATTGAGAAAATGAAAAAAAGTTAATGCATTCTTAGTCTCATAACGTTAAGGACAAATATTTAGATCTTTAAATCAATTTTAAAAACTTAAAAAAATTGGCACGTACAAAGCCTTCAATGGTAGCACATGAGCTTTGTTTAAAACAAAACACTACCTCCCCCCCACATACTACAGGAACACACATTTAAAGTTGTTAATGAGAAAAGTCACTAGACCAGTGGTCTCCAACCTTTAAGCACAAGATCATTTTTCAATTTTAAGTCAGTCCAGGATCTACCTCAAACCCAAATACTGCTGCCCCACCCCTTAACCGAGGCCCCACCCTCTTCATTCTGTGAATATGGGGTGCAGGGGAGTGGGACAGTGACAACAGTGCCCCCCACCTCTATCTCCCCCACCCTGCACAAGCAGGAGGCTCCCAGGGGGCAGCTCTGAGCAGGAGCAACAGGGAAGTGGGTGAAGGGGCAGCTGAAGCGCTGGCACTTGATAAAGACTCCTGGCTGAACCCGTCAGAGGCTCCAAGATCTACTGATAAATCCTGATTTACTTGTTGGTGAGCACTACACTAGACTAAGCCCCTCATCCTGTATCTAAGAATACCCTTATCCTGGGCATTTTAAAGCTGAATGTTCAAGTAAAATGCACTTTGCTTCTGTTTCCCACATTCAAAATTCACATTAGTAGTATGGACACACACCACATTACCTTCAGTGTATAATCACTCACCTTGTAAATGTTATACAAGTGAAAGATATAACATTGATGTAGCATTGTGGTAGATAGTGTAGATACATTAAAGTCAGACATCAAAGTTACAGTGTCAAGAGAAACATAAACTGTCTCCTCATATACTGGAGGAAGCATGGTTCCCATGAGAACTAAGTTCCTAAAAAATAGTGATTGCATTAACAGGTTCTCTTCCTTGTCTCCAAGCACTTTGAGTCTGATACTAGCTTCCAGTAAAAGTTTTTTTAGCTTGATAACTTGTTTGCAATGTTATTGCTTAAACCAGGACTACTCAACAGGCAGCCTGTTTGTTTGCGGCCCATGGGTGGGAGCCAAAACAAAAAAGTAGTCAATATAACGGTCTTCTATTGAAATGAGTTTTAGTAGTTAAATTCCTGGACTGTCGTTGATCATTAAAAGTACCCGATTTCCACGCATATGACAGCAAATATTGCTTTTTATTAATGTCAGCAGAACTGACTTAAACGGGGCCTGTGTGTTGTGTAGTCTTGCTTAATCTTTGTATTCATGCCTGTCAGTGTGAAAGAAACTATTTGCATATATATTTGTATGTATATGCAACCACACTTATTGCAGCCCTTGGCATGTTCTGTGAGTATCATTGTGGCCCCCAGGGGCTTCTAAAGTTGAGTAGCCCTGGGTTATATAGTTGCAGTCCAGTGAAAAATAACTAGGCAATTAACGGACAGGAGACAGGATACTAGTATTTGTGTGGATGTGGGATAAACTAGCTATACTAGTCAGTAAGTACTATTTGCCTATTATTTTTCTACTAGGTAAATAGAGCACAGACTTCCACACTGTTGTCCTTTACAAACATGTACTGCCACAGCTAAATGAATACTAAGCCAACTACTGTGGCATTTATGTGTCTTCAACTTCAGAGTTTTTTGGGCTCAATTTAACATCAAGAATTTTCATAGGAACTTGATACATGTCAAAGTCCTGTTACAATGGTCCAGATAGGGGAAACAATCTCTGCTCCTATGAAATCCAATTGAATCATTATTTACTAACAGCTCTAACCACAATCCACACTATGCCCCATCATATCAGTATTAGGTAATTGCACTCGTAGTTGTAGCTGAGGAGCTAGGGAGAAGTTAAAACAAATATGCTTCCCCCCCCCCCTTTTAAATATACAATGAATTACATGGGGTGCTGAAAGGAGGCTAAAAAAATCACAAGTGTTTTCTGTAAAAGGTTATTAAACGTAATGTTCACTGAAAGTCAGAGAGCTGAACTGGAGCACAGGCCTCCATTAAAAAGAGAAGGGATTTTGTTTTGTTTGTAAGTCTTTCACTGGAAAACAGCAGTTTTATTTAAGCCAAAGTTAATGTCCTTTCTATTAGCCTTAGTTTCTGGATCTGAGATTTTAGTCAGAATAATGCTGGGGAGGAGAGATGTGGATGTATCTTCTACATGGAGATGCCAAGTTATAATTTTGAAGAAAAATCCTTATATATTTTAGGTGCTCATGAACTTACCAATGTAGTTTTATTGGAGGCCATTTTTATTGCAGACTTGCAGAGCTTTACTAGAAAAATGCATGACAATTAAAAGGAAATTTAAGTTACTCAGAAAAAGGCATCCCCATACAAGCATGGTCCTTGTTCCAACCCCCATGTGTTCACTGCACATAACATGTCAAGTGTGGATTAAATCCAGAAAAGATTACTGCTTTGTCCAGCAGAATGCACAAACACACCATAATGCTAGTCATGATCCTAGCTATTGATTGTGTATGATAGGTTGCAAGAAAGTCCTACCAGCATAAGGCAGAGATGTTTCACAGAGAGGTGGGGAGAACCATTTCCTTAAACCCAAGGAGGAAAAGTGTTCAGTTTCAAGCAATTAACTAAGATATTTAACAGCATTTTCAAGATGCAAAAGTGAAATTTTAGTTAGCAACAAAGTATCTGTAGCATAATTCACTAGTGAGTTACCAGTAATCCTGACACAGCAGGAAATATAAACTGCAGAATATTAAAACTATAATGTTGCAAATGTATGGATCAGAAGGCAAGAGTTAAGGCTAATACAGATACAAACTGCAAAACTGTGTACACTGTATGCGAAGACTAAAATGCTTAATTAAGAAATATACATTGAATTAACCTATATAGATTACATAAAAACCACATGGTCTGAAGAAAACTCATCCTCTTTCCCATGCAGTTGCTTACACTAACCACCTCTTTGGGCATACATTTAGTCACCCATCCCTGCAAATCACAAAATGATCAAGGCAAAAAAAAGCCTATATGGAAGTCAGAGGAGGGCTTTGACTCAGCGATCCTGCCCAATTCTCACCCCCTTGCAGCCCGAGAGGTGGTACTGTAGCCAAGAAGTCCAGCGAAGGACAGGCAGAGGCTTGGGCCCTGCTGCTGGGCACTTCATCTAGGATTCATTGCGATTGGAGGGGGGAGGGGGAGAAGAGGAGGGAAACAAAGGCCCATAGCACAGGAATGAAGGGTATGGCTGCGCCACAGGCCTGTGATGGGCGCATACGAGGCCCGGGTGACCTAACGGGACTAGCTGAGCAAGGAGTAGGGCCAACCTGCACGCCAACGCAGAGGAGGAAACCCTGCGCCCCTGCCTCTAGTCGGCGGAGGGAACAGCCGGCGAGTCATGCGTGTTGCCTAAACCTACACTCCACCATTTCACACACCCGCTCTCAAAAAAGGACGAGGGCCCCTTCCCGGCGCCACGTTGCCCCCTCACCGAACACGACCATCGCGCTCCAAGAGTAAGCTGGGCGGACAGTGGAAAAACCGCCCTCGGGGCTGGCGGCGTCGCTTTGTCCCCTGAACGCACCCCCCTCCGCCTCTCCCCAGGCTGCACCCAGCGTCTAAGCGCTGCGCTCCCCTCCCTGTTAGGGCCCAGAGCCTTCCTCCTACCTATGGGGGCAAAGCACCCACTAGAGATCCCGGAGCTCAGCTCCCTCTTCCCCCGCACCGCCCCTCCCTACCCGCCTTCAGTAGCCACCCTTCAGGTAAAGGCGGGCAGCGAGGGGAGGGGGAGGGGAGCTCCGCAATTACACCCAACGCGAGCCCAGCTGCAAGGAATTTTGGGCGCTACCCAATTCCTGGCGAGATTAAATGGGAAACGAGAAGAGAGAGAAGGATACAGACTTCAATGGTGCCTGGCGGTGGCGGCGACTCGGGTTTCCCGTCTCCTCCTTGCTCCCTGCAGGCACTGAGCAGCAGCGACATCTGAGGGGGTGGGGGCCGAGGCTGGGG